AAATTGGGGAAGGCCTCTTGAAGGAGGCCTTGAAGGCAGTTAGAAGTTCCAAGAGATGGAGGTGAGAAGGAGCAGCATTTCTGTGCACTCTGTGTAGGAGCATGGTGAGTGGAAATGTAATGTCATGTACTATAATTTGATCATTTTGGTTGGAATATAGTGAGTAGGGGACAGACTTGTACTTTAAGAAAGTCACTTTGACAACTGTGTGAAGGCCTGGATTTCAGAGAGGAGAAACTTGAAGCCAGGATTAAGATGGTACTAGGATATTCCAGATGAAAAGTAATAAGAGTATGAACATGATGTGAATTGTAACAATGGATGTGAAGGAAAGAGATGTCACGAAAAAAGAACCCATATGATTCATGATATTTAAGGAATCATGGAAAATGGGCCAGTTGCTGTAGGACTATAAATATTCCCTGGATTTTTAAAAATAGAAATCATATCCTTCAAACTATAAGTCAATGAACTTAGTCTCTTGTAAAATTTTAGAAAAAAGCTGTCAAAAGATTTCTTGGGAGCATTTGGGAAAATGGTTACAAAAGTCAAGGTAGATTAAAAAAGAATAAGTCATGCTAGACTAACCTCAATTATTTTTCTGACAAAGTTATTAGACTGGTAGATTAGCGATATTCCATAGACAGGTTATACCTTACTTCAATAAAATATTTGACAAAGTCTCTCATAATAACCTCATGCAGGAATATGGACTACATAGTATTGTAGTTAGGTATATTCAGAAGTATTTGACTGACAGACCCAAAGAATGTTAATTAACAAATCCATCAGCTTTGAGGGAGGTCTCTACTAAAGTGTCACATGGCTCTGTCTTGATCCTGTTTTCTCCCACATCCACTGATTTGGGTGAAGGCACTGATAACATAGTTATCAAGTCTGAGGATGATATGAAGCTAGGAGGAAGAACTGAAATCTGGAATGACAGAATTGTCATATAAAAATTTCAAAAGGCTGTAATGATGCTAAGATGAAATTCAATAGGCACATATTTAAGGTCCTGAACTTGAATTAAAAAACTGAAGTGCACAAATTCTGGATGAGAAAAGCATGGCTAAATAATAAAGGTGAAAAAACCTAGAGGTTTTAATGATGGCGGCCAAGAAATCCAATGTGATCTTAGGCAAGGATTCCAAGAAAAAAGCAGATAATAGTTATTTGCACATTTTGCCCTAGTCAGGTAACTTATGGAAAATTGTGCTTTATCCTGAGTACCACAAAAGGAGATTGATCATCTGGAGAATTTCCAGAGAAGGGCAAAAACATGGTGAAGGGACTCAAGTTTGTGTGAGGAGTAGCAGTTGAAGGAATCGGGAAGACTTAGGGGATGCATGGTATCTGTCTTCAAACACGTGAAGGGATACTCTCTTTGGCTTGAAGGCGAACCAGGAAAATAGATCAAAGGAACAAAGAGGTAAATTTAGGCTTCATATAAGGGAAACCTTCTCAATAATTAGAACTATCCCAAAACAGAATCAATTTCCTAAGGAGGTAGTAGATTCTCCCTAAAAGAAAAATAAAAGCAACGTCTTAAAGCAAAGGACGGATGACTAATTAACTAGTACTATGTTGCAGACTTAAGGGTAGTTGAGGAATAGGTTGAATTGTATGGCCTGTGAGATTCTCTGAAGAGCTCCTTAACTACAAACCCAGTATCTGTTGGCCGTGATGTGGTCATCAAAAAATCTTAGGATGTCTTAATAGAAATAGAGTGTCCAAAAGAAGGCAACTGCCCTCCTCATTCTATGCGTCCTTAGTCAGAGGAAGGACTGTGGAAGGCTTTCTACCATTTGAGGCACCAGTGTTATTAGAAGCAACCTCAAGGACATTCACAGGAAGTTTAAGGAGATGAGAAACTACATCATAAGAACATGGCTAAAGAAGATGGGATGAGTGAAGACAAGAAAAATATGATCATTTTCTTCAAATATTTAAAGGATTATTATATCTTGATAATTAGACTTATTTTTCATGTATGCTATGCCACAAGATACAAAATACCTGACCCATTTAGAGGGAGGAGAAAATACCGTAAGATCATAGATTTAAAGCTGAAAGAGACCATAGAGGCCATTGAGTTCAATCTCCCCATTTTACAAATGAGGAAACTGAGGCCCTTAAGTAGTTAAATTACTTTGTAACACTGGTGGGTGGTGCTGGTGAGAGCGATAACATAGTCCTTCTGCTTTCTTTTCCCTTCTGGAAATGGTGGCGCTGAATATCATCCATGCCTCTCCAGTCTCCACCCTGCTTGCCTTTCCTTCCTTCTCCCAATCAAAGACCGTGAGAACACTGTTACAACTTCCTCTCCTGTTCTACAGAGTTTAAGTCAGATGAAAAGATATTAATACACTGATGGTACTCGGCGTTCCCAATTAAGAAGATTCCTGATGGTCAGACAGAGGTTTAGTTCCCCGCCCTAATTTTTGTGCATTTTCAGTGAACCCTTGGCTTCTTAAGATTTAAGGCAAAATCAAGGTATAGGAAACATTTGATAAAAGAAGCCAGCAGAATATAATACAGTGCTTGTTACTGGACAAGGACAGATAGAGGAAACCAGACAAAGAGCAGACCCCTGACAATGTCTTCCACTCGTGAAGTGGTAATTGTAAGGTACAGCTTCAGCTGGAGCTTGCCTGTGGGGGCCAGACAGACCCCCTCAATCTTTGCCGTCTTTGCTGAAATTCAGGTGTCCTTTCAGTTTCTTCTGTTGCTTTTGTCCCTGTGCTGATGGCGCTTCTGAACTTGGTTCAGTAAGTTCTGAGCAGAGCAGGGGCTGCTGTCTCACTCCTGCTGCTCACTGTGGCTGCTGCTGAGCTCTTGTGCAACCTGCTCCTTCCTAGAAGGCTCATGACTTTCTCAGGGTCACACAACTACCAAAGGTTGGAAGTGAAATCAGAACCCAGGTCTTTCTGACTCCAAATTCAGAGTCCTAGCCACTATTCAGCTACTTCACACTGTCTCCAGATTGGTTGCAGCAATCCACATTCTCATATTTGTTCCGAAGTGATCTGCCCTGAGCTATGCCCCCCTTTCTGGGCTCTGCAGTTTGGATGAGGGAAAAACAATTATGCATACATGTGTAGTATAACCTATGATTCTTGTTGTTAGCCTAGGTAGAGAATGTGCATGGCATGGACAGGGCATGGGAAATGACACCTATACTGAGTCCCACACTTGCGAACTTCTCTAGCCCACAACTCCAACAATGCATCACTTCTGAAAATGACATATTTTAAAACCAAACAACTGAAGGGTTAAAATATTACTACATATTGTTTTAGAAATAATTATGGTTTAACATAAGCCTTATTTCAAAGACTTCTCAGAGATCCTAAATGGTTTTTTGCTAACAGTGAAATGTGGAAGGAAAATAATTTACATAAGAGATTCAACACTAGATGTGCCAAACACACACACTCTCTACTTCTGTAGCTGGAGAATTAACAGAGTGCAAACAAAGCTAGCCCTTCCTGCTTCTAGCTATGTGGTACTCAATGCTGCAGGGAAATCTGCTTTCTTCCAGTTAACCATGTGTATGACTCATTGCTTGGGTGCTTTGGGATTATGACAAGGTGATAATCACCTCAATGGCTCCTAAGCAGGAAGAATGCATGACTCAGTAGACTTTTAAAAAGAAAGTGACTCTGACTCTCTCTCTCTTCTCTCTCTCTCTTCTCTCTCTCTCTCTCTCTCTCTCAGCCTTTAGGGGGCATCATATAATTTCCTTTGAGGTGCTGGGGGGAAAGGCAACTACCCTGTTCCCCACCATGGCCACCATGAGGCTGTGAACACATGGGACCTAAAAGCCAGTGTTCTGATCTTGAGTTCTGGGTTCCTTTTCTGTGATTGCTCTTTCCTGATCTTAGCTAGATAAACATTGATCCTGAGGTGCATGGAGTCTAGGTTCTGAGCTCATCTCATGAATTCAAGAGGTTCAGAGATGCTGGTACTTTCAGTCAAGGCTGTTTCGTGGCACAAGGAAGCATTTCTGACAAGTCCTCCAATACTTCTGGAAGAAGGCAAATACCAGCAGGAAGATAAGCTCAATCACTGGCTTAACTCTGTCTTAAGAGGAACATTGCTGAGCTGAAGTGAAATGTGGAGTGCCTAATCAGCAATCCCACAGACTGGTTTGTATTCTGGTGGGGCTTAATTATCGTTCTCTTAGAGAGAGGTAAAGCAGAAGTTATTATTGCTCCTTGTTCAAGTCTGTTTATGTCAAAGGCTCACTTGTGAATGTTCTGGGATTAGTAGTTCTTTTGGGTGTAGGAAATAAATACCTCTCCCATGTTGTTGTTGTTCGTCATTTTCAGTCTTGTCCGACTCTTCATGACCCTATTTGGGGTTTTCTCAGCAAAGACACTGGAATGGTTTGCCATTTCCTTCTCCAGCTCATTTTACAGATGAGGAAACTGAGGCAAACAGGGTTAAGTGACTTGCCTAGGGTCACACAGCTAGTAAGTGTCTGAAGCCAGATTTTAATTTATGAAGATGGATCTTCCTGACTCCAGGCCTGGCATTCTATCTATTGTGCCACCTAGCTGCCCTCTCATGAAATTGCCCTGAATGCATTTATTGCTCAGCGGCCAAAAAATGGGATTGCCTCATTGTGTTAGCACCCAAACACTAAGGGAATCTGCATGGCAATCTGGAAGAAACCAAGGAGCTAATCATCCCTCAAAGTCACCTTCAGCACTATGTCACACATGTCCAGAAAGGGGAAGGCCAGCTTTGCGCATGCCTTGATCAACTCCACTTTCATTCCTGTATCATAACTCCATGTACCAAAGTGGCGGAAAGGAGGTGGTGGAGGTGATCTACCTCTTAATTTTATTTTAGCCTCAAAGAGTTTCCCACCTCCATGCTATAGTCATTTAGGTCTTCTGAAATACTTTGAAATAATTGCATTCCAAGTGTATCGGATGACAAGATGGAACGGCGAAAGTGGGAAAATGGAAATACAAGGGAATATACTGTACCTTGTTTTACCTGTAAGAAACACACACCTGACAAAAGGCAATTTTCACATCGAAGGTAGGTTCACTGAAGTAGGATAGGAAGTAGCGGCTCATAAATACCTAGAAAACAACAATAAGATCAACAATCCAAATCATCTCATTTGTCATTATTTTAAAACAGCAAACTTTAATTAACTGGGTATCAGGCACATACTGGCTACTGAACAAAACCTAGATTGTGCATCTGTCCTGAACAACACCGGCTCCTCTTCCACACCACCAGTTCCTTTTCCTCGTTCCTACCAAAAAAATCCCTACTTTTACAAAGGGTGGACTTTCTTCAAGTTACAGCCTCATTTCACACCCAATCTCCATCCTCATTCTGTTGGAGTTTTCAGTAGTGTGAAGAAACAGCCTCTTTAGACAGAAGACAGGCTAAGTCACAGATCGAGGAAACTTGGCATGCTTATTAAGATCTATAGGGAGTCTAATTAATGCAGTTTCAGCCTCTAATGATTCACCCTTTTCTAGCTCCCCTAAGTGGAAAGACTGCTGGAATTACTGGCTTCCAGGTGTTGACTTTGGGCCTAACCTCTCTGGTCTTTCCTTCTTCTGTAAATTAAGAGAGCTGCATGAGTTCACACTTGTCATGCTCCTGGCTCCAATTGGTGACTTTGTAATCTGCCTGTTTAAGTGAGGTTCAACCAAACCAGCTGATTGCTGTTCTTCACTAGCTCCCTTTTTCCCTCATGCCCATAATGCACCCCTCCTCACTTCCACCCCTAGAAATTGCTGACTTCCTTCAAGACTCAGATCTAGCCCCATTGCCAACGGGAGGCCTTTCCTGACCTACTTCCACACCACCAGCAGCACTTACCAGGGCACTCTGTATCTACTTCTAATGAGTTTTGTACATCACTATACATTGTTTTCCCTTTTAGAATGTAGAAGCAGGAGATCTTGAGAGGAAGGCCTGTTTTGCTTTTGTCTTTGAATTCCAGTGACTGATTAAATTAATAAGTTGAATATTTGTTTTCACAGATATTATTTATCAACATATGTTCATTACTATATTCTCTTCTTATTCTGCCTGAATATGTTGTTTCTATAGTATGAATTTAGCAACATTTTTGTTATTTCTGACATAAAATATTCTTAAGCTAAAATTTGTTGCATTTAGTGACTGTATATTCATCTTGTTCACTTCATATCACTCTTTATGAGTCAGTCGTTTTCTTGGGTAAAAAGGAAGAAGGTATTTCTCTCTCTCGCTCTCTTTCTCTCTCTCTCTCTCTCTCTCTCTCTCTCTCTCTCTCTCTCTCTCTCTCTCTCCTCCCCCTCCCCCTCATTTCTTCTCTCCCTTCTCTTCTTCTCTCCATCTCTCCCTCCTCTTCAAAGTATGAACATTCTCCTGCCCTTAGGGGTGGAATAGGTTATAAAAAGTGAGGTAGATAAAGGAGCAATAAAATACAGAAATTCTGAGGATGTAAAGATTGCATACCCATTGCCACTGACTGAAAACAATTAACAGGTAATATTTTCCCATGCTATAATAGCTGTTATTACATACTTTCAGGTTTGCAAAATACATCACATACATTATTTCATTTGAGCTTCACAACACAAAACGAGGTAGGTACTATTGATGTGATTTTACTTATGAAGGAAACACAGTATGAGCAATGTTAAAAGGTTAAGTGACTTTCCCAAGGTCACACAGTGTAAGTGTTCTGGAGGCAAGATTTGAACCAAAGTTCTCCTGACTCTTACTTCCCAATGCCTGGTATTGCCACAGTCTCTCTACTGTCCTAGAAAGAGAGCCCTATCTCTATTACAATTAATCTACTGCTTTGAATGTTAAACAGTCACAGGAGAGGAAGAAAGAATGCTCCCTGTGTTAGCTAGTACTCTGAAACAGCTCAAGAAATGTAAAACAAAAGCAAAATACCAGAAGAATTGCAACTGAGGGAAATCATGCTCCCACTTAATGTGGTTCTGCCTTCCTCCCATTCCAGAGTTCATCTCTGGTGAGGTGTGTATATAAACAAAAACAACATGAAACACTGAGGAAGACACAAGATTACAAAATATGGCATCTGAAGAAAATTAAATATTTCCTATAGGAGGAAAACAGGTGAGATCATTATTTGAGGAATAAATCTTTTCTCACAAACTTAAAAAAAACTAAAACGCTTGTTTCCACAGCACTAAATCTGTGAAATTTAGTACTCCCTTCATAGAAATTCTTCTCAATTGAAATCTGGCCTCAGATACTTACAAACTGTGTGATCTTAGGGGTAAGTCATTTAACATCTGTCTGCCTCAGTTTCCTCAACTTTAAAATGGAGATTAAAATGGCACCTACCTCCCAGGGTTATCGTGAGGATCAAATGAGATAATATTTGTAAAGTGCTTAGCACAGTGCCTGGCACATAACAGGCGGTGCTATATAATTGTTAGATTATTATTGTTGTTGTTGTTTTGTTGTTATTATATAGTTTTGCATCTGACAAATCATGAAGAGTTGGCAACAGCAAGAGCCTGAAAGAGTCCAGTAGCAATGACTTATACATGCTCACTGCACAGTAGGCAGTATATTTTTTCAACTGCTGAAATGGGGATAAAGAACTGATATTGTCTAAATACAAAGAAGTATACTATTTTTCACTTTCTTTTGCTGTTGTTTGAGTCTTCTTTTACGAAATGACTAGTATGGAAATATTTTACATAATTGCACATGTTTAACCTATATCAGATTACTTACTGTCTCAGGGAGGGGAGAAGAGAGGGAGAGAGGAAGGGATAGAACTTGGAATTCAAAACTTTTTTAAAATGTTAAAAATTGTTTTTAACCTGAAATGGACAATATGTCTTTACTTTTTAATGAATGAAGAAGCTGGTTATGAGAAGCAAGCATCCCAGCCTTTCCTGGCACTTGCTACCCTCCCTGAGTGATGTACCATTGCTCATTAAGTTGCAATAGAAACCCCTTGTTCCCAGGGGACATTAAAATAAAAGGAGCTTTTAATGTCATAATCCCATTGATTGCTAAAAAACTTGGTAGATAATTATATTTCCTGAAAGGGCAAAGAATATGTGGCACCATTAGGTAGAAACATTATAAATGCCGAAGGCATTTTCTCAATATGATTCTGAAAGGATGTTAGTCTCAACTTCCTGCATACAATATGGTACCCTAGAGTGGCATGAATGGGGAGGAGGAGATAATTTGGCGAATTTATTGACTTTTTCTCTTATTTTCTGATTCTTTTGGGAAAAGAGTCTTAAATAATCCCCTGCTATGAATTACTACTAAATTTCTCATCATTATGACCTTAGGAGAGTAAATAGTTATCTTGCATAAGGCGACAAGTTGTGTGTATCAGGATCCCCAAAAGAATATACAGGCATATCTTGTTTTATTGTACTTTGTCGATATTATGTTTTCTGTTTTTGTTTTACAAGTTGAAAGTTTATGGCAACCCTACGTCCAGCAAGTCTATCATCACCATTTTCCCAGAAGCATACGCTTACATTGTATCTCTGTGTCACATTTACGTAATTCTTACAATGTTTCAGACTTTTCCCACGATATTACATCTCTCATGGTGATCTGTGATCAGCGATCATTGATGTTATGACTGTAATTTTTGGGGTGCCATAAACCACACCCATATAAGACAGAGAACTTAATAAATGTTGCGAGTGTTCTGACTGCCCCACCGACCCCATCTTTCTTCCTCTCCTCAGGCCTTCTTATTCTCTGAGAGGCAACAATATTTAAATTAGGCCAACTAATAACCCTATAATGGCCTCATGTTCAAGTAAAAAGAAGAGTCAGTTGATGCAACAAACTTCATTGTTGTCTTATTTTAAGAAATCACCGCAGCCACCTCAACGTTCAACAACCACCACCCTGATCAGTCAGCAGCCATCAACATTAAGGGAAGACCCTCTACCAGCAAAAAGATTCCAACTTGCTGAAGGTTCAGATGCTGGTTAGCATTTTTTAGCAATACATTATTTCAATTAAGGTATATATATTTTTAGACACAATACTATTACACACTTAATAGACTACAGTATAATGTAAACGTAACTTCTACATGCACTAGGAAACTAAAAAGTCCACGTGACTTGCTTTATTGCGATATTCGCTTTATTATGGTCTGGAACCAAAGTCATAATATCTCCAAGGTATTGCTTGTATTATTAAGTTTAAGGAAATTGAAATTAGAAGCAAAACAGGTTAGCAGAGGGGAGAGACTTGGAAATTAGTTTTTCTACTAAAGATCTCATACTCAAGATGTATAAGGAATTGATTCAAGTGTATAAAGTTAGGGATGATTACTAAATAGACAAATGGCCAAAGAATTTGAGCGAGTAGTTTTCAAAGAAGATATCCAATATATAAAGTATACGGTAAAATTCTCCAAATCATTAATAATTAGGGAATGCAAATTAAAGCGATTCTGAGATTCTACCTCATATCTATCGACTGGAAAAAAGTGAAGAAAGAAGAAAATGAGCAATGTTGGGAAAATTGGCACAATGATGCACTTCTGGGAGAGCCATGAATGGGGACAACCATTCTGAAAGTTACTAAATACTGCGTGCCCTTTGACCCAACTATATGACTGTGAGGTCTATACTCCAAAGAGACCAAACAAAGAGAAAAAGGACTCAGATGAGCAAAAATATTTACAGCAAACTTCTCTCAAACTGGAATAGCTAAACAAACTGGTATTTGAATCTGATAGAATATTATTGTGCCATAAGAAATAACTAAATGGACAGTTTCACGGGAAACTGAGAAGACCTTAGTAATAGATGCAGAGTAAAACGAACAGAAATAGAAGAACAATTTATATGATGACAATATTATAAAGAAAAACAACTTTGAAAGACTTCAGAATTATAATCAATAAAATGATTAATCACGGATCTGGAGGTCTAAAGATGAAAAATGTCAGTACCTCCTGCCAGAGAGGTGATGGATTCTAATGCAGAATGACACAGAGCTGTGAGTTTTGCTGGACTATGTATATTTATTAGGAGGGTTTTCTTTTACTTTTTTATTGTTCAATCGGGGAAGGCAATGAGAGGGAAAAATAAATGCT